ATAGATCGCCTTTTTTTTAAGATCACCCTTGAGTCCAATTTTATTTAATGCAAGTGGAGTTTTTGGCCTTTGTAAATACTGCAATCTACATGAGGCATGATGTATATCTCACGTTGGCTGCAGTAGTGACATTATGATGATGATTTTCATTTGAATTTTGTTAATATTCGCACAAAAAGTATACTATGAAGTAATGGTTATTACACATTCTCACTCATAGTCATAAGCAAAGCCGGATTTAGCATAGGGCCAGGTGGGCCCGGGCCCATAGCGGCAAGTTTTTAGGGTCACCAAAAAACCAAATCCGAGAAATAATTCTACAGTACTATCGTGGACAAATAACATAATCTCTTAAGGAATTGGAAAAAGTTGGAATGTTATGTACACTATTACCAACTTAAAAGTAATCATGAAATATTCAGTAACATAATCTCACACTCCCACGAGAGTATGAGAACTTTGTATAAAGATTGCGGAAAATTTAGGACTTCTCCCGCAATTTTTTTTTTGAAAACGGATCATTAAGGTGCCCTCTAACCATTTTATCAGTTTCCTGTGAGGGGCTTAATAACGTCACGTAACCGTTAGGTTCTCTGAACTCTCTGAAACACTCAGTGGCTACATTTACAAGTTTATATATTGGATTTCATTGTTCAAACTGCAAATAAACTTAACTACATAATTAAATCAATCTGGGAAAAATAGGCGCAAAATATGTAAAACCAGCCCTACTCATAGCTGTTTGTTGAATAATACGGTTCTCTATGAAAATGAGATATTTCATTGCAAAAATCCGATACAAGAATATCGAAGGATCCTCGCGATCTTTTTGGGCTGTAACTTTTTGGCCCGATAGTCTATAAATGTGTACCAATTTTCAAAGCGGCCAGACATTTCTAAAGTTTTCGTGCACACGAACAGACAGACGGACGAGAGACAACAATACAAAATTATAAACGATCTCGAGTATTGTTAATAAATCGATGTGAAAATCACACACTCCGTCCGTATAAGGAACGAGATCTTGGCATTGGATAGTCGTACAAAGCTCGTCGAAAAAAGTCTGATGTCAGGTATGATACTATTTGAAATGTTATGTGATGGAGTTAAGTAAGCAGAGAAAAACAATTAAAATCGCTACTTCAGTGGTCCTGTATGTGTAGTGAAAACCGTATAGCGATATTGCATTTATTGGTCTGGTTATTAAGGGTTGAGTTGCATCTTGCATCACCATAAATGATCTCTCCAACTTGTGTATCTCAAACTGTATGTAAAAGTCGTTCATTTTTGCAGATAATTTCCAGATTAACAAAACAATAATAGACACAAGCATGTTTAATGACTGTTTATCCACTACATATAACATGTCAGTAAACACATGTTACAATTGTATAATATATGGAGAGTACTACTGAATTCAAGTCCTTTGAGCAAGATATCTTTAAAACATGGAGCAAAAAGCGATTACATTAAAGATGAGTTTTTGCGGCAAACATCTAACTGTTAATTCGTAATTAATTCAATGACGATTGAGTAAACAAAAAATTATTTTCGACTTTAATCGGTACACTTTTTAAAACGCAGTCGACTCACGTAAAGACGAACAATGTTACTTTAGCGATTCAGACAGAACGCACTGAAATAAATATAGAACAATCGATAAAATGAAACGGGAATGAATAATTTAAAAGATTTCTTGTTTCAACAACACAATTCGTAACTAGTTATTTCTGTTTTTGAATAGCCGATTGCCTGCCTGTTCTTAACAAAGCACGCCCATCAACCTCCTTGTCAATCCATAAACATTAATAACGAAATTAATAATTGCGAAAAATTGTTCGAGACCGCCACCGAACTTTTTTGCTTAATTAAAATACGTAGGTACGTCGGAAAAATAAATTACATGTCGTTTACCAAAAGTGTTTAGTAATTTGTCCATGTTGATCGAGTAAAATGAACGATGGTGCCACTATTGTGCTGTCAGTTGTCAATGTTAAGAACAACGTGGGATTCCGTTTCCGGTCCCTCATTTTGTTTATAGATTAATTTGTCTTCTTTAGGTTTTATCTGTTTTCTTTCACTGGTAAGGCATGGGGAAGAAATTGGTGACCTAATCCGAGAATAACTTATCTAATTATAGAGCACGCCAGGTATTAAGGAAATGAGGTAAGGAAACTATCTTCAATCATAATATTTCATATTTAATAAATATACCTCACCTAACATTCCGTAAATATTTGAAAGGCGCGCAGATATCCGTATATTTTTTGTTCGCTTTTAGATCTTTGGTATCGCTGTAATTGCATTTATATCTATTTTAATTTCTTCAATAAAAGAACGCAGCATGACGCCCACATCATTACCACCAAACCATTATTCCTTCGGTAATAATAAAAAAAAACAATTACCAATAACCTTAAAATGATATTA